CTAATGAGAGAAATCAGGTTACAGGGGGAAATCGTACAATGCCCTTGCATGCGCTACAATAATCCAATTTCTATTTAACCTGCTTTTGCATGCAGCTGGTGTGGAGTTAAATATCTCTATTTTTAAAATGTTTTTGAAGTAGTCTTGGCATAATTTAAATCTATTAATGATATATAATACTATAGCCCTAGGACTTATTTTCTTTTTTTTGTGGGAACATTTGGAATGATTGAGTAAAAAGATCATTTTGTTTTTCTTGTTGTGCCCATGAGGTATTAAAAATAATCAGGATGCATGACTTCAAGTTATCATCTTTCCTTCCGTCCTTGGGCCATGATGATACTTTCCTTCCGTGTCAGATGCATTGCACACACCTGCTCCTATAAAGAATCCTATTAAAAACTCAGTTAGGCATATACGTGGACAAGAAATTTTGTTTTCCTCTTGTAGAAATTTAGTGGTGAAACAGATTTCTTGTAATAACTGATTTCGGAAACCTGGTTCTCCTTTATTCTATTACATTAATGGTTACTTCAGAAAGCGCAGAGTAACAAGGCAGCTTAAGAGTCTGTAAAAGCACTGAAAAAATACAATCACTGAAGCATCCCTCTTTTAAAGCCATGGGCCCATTGTGGTCAGGCTAATGCATGGCCTGGACCTGCTAGGGAAAATCCTCCATATCAGACAAATTCTTATGGATTCGTGCATGAGTCACAACAGCACGGGCTGCCAGGAATGCAGATGGTGAGAAGAAGTAGGCTATGTTTTCTATAGCTGTTTTAATGATCTCCTCAGGATATGACTGAAGTTAATGAAGTCTGTTCCATGGGGGCTTACCTTTGACCCCGGTCTGAATGCCTCTCACCCCTGTCTGTTCCATTTTACAGTCCCAGTCACTCTGGATGCCTTTTGGTTTGTTGACTTTTCTTTCCTCTCATTGTTTTCCCAGGAAGCGGTGAAAGCTGCAGTGAGTGTGTGTGTGTTTCGAAAGTACAGTATTCTAGCCTTGGCACCAGCCCTGTGGAGTCTGAGTCTCTTTTTTTTCTACAGTTGTCCTGTGGTATATTACAAGATGGCAGAAGTCTCTCCAAACAAGTGGTTACAATATTATCTACCACATTTCTGAAAACATGGCGTGCTGGCTTGTTTACTGTTTGATTTGACCTGTCATAATATTGTTGTGCACTGGATTTCAAAACAATTAAGCAAGACCATCTTCTTTTTAAGGAAGTACAAATGAAACCCTTTAAAGTCTCTACTCTGCACATTTGGGTATTGCACCACTGTGGGCCACAGTTGCCACAAAAAGGGGCCACTCATTCCCAGAGGAGGCACCAGCAAACTGTTTGTGAGAGAGAAACATGAATGTAAGCTTAGCACGAGAGAAGCTGGGCAGGAGGCCAAGAGCAACTCTGCGCTGTGCAGGACGTTATAAAGTTGGAGCAACAGCTGATGTCTCGGGCCATGGCGTTGCACTGGTTCCCAACTCTGTGTCCAGACATCCCTGTCAAATTTGTCCTGGGAATTGGCAAGCTCAACCCACCAAGGGAAAGCAGTGAGAACAGTTGCAGAGCTAGACATGAGGCTAAAGAGTCTAAATCAGAGCCTCTAAAAACATAAAGAGCCATGAATGTGCAATGAAAGACGCTTGCTTCCTGGTCCCTCCTGGACCCAGAATGGACAGAAAAAACAAAACAGAGATACAGATCTGCATTCCTTTCTGACTGGATATCTAGAACGGGTGATAGATGACCACTGTTTCCCTATTTAAGAAATAGCAGAATATCAGAGTTTTTTCCCCCCCCTATTAAAGGAATGCTGCTATTAACTACAAACATGCTCAACATACCCATACAGTGTGTTAAAGCAATTTCCCTTTGGGACTAACGGCAATCTATTTAAAGACTGTTGACTTATCCATTATTATTACAAACTTTATGTTCAACAAGCTCTAAAGTTACAGACTCTCAAGGACGGCAACTTTAAAGACAGTTCAGTAGAGGATGTATTCCAATTTTACATGCACTCATAAATCTAACATTAACGTGCGTCTCCCGGTTAAATGAGAGTACAGTGCAGACCCTATGCACAACAGCGACACACTTTTGTTGTTTTCTTTATTCCAGCACATTGTATGTAAAATGAAATGGTTTTTCTGAGGTTAAGAAACAACACACAGCTTTAAATTTAAAGTGTTAACATGTGTGTACCAGTATCTGTAATCTGTGTACCACTTTACACACAGTGTCCCCCAGTTTTACAAGGCCACGCCAATTTTCTCACTGGCTGCTCGAATGTTTCTTAAGAAGTTGTGTTTCATTTAATTGTCAACTCTCACACACACAGCTAGTCCAGCTGCAAGTCACTGTTTTTAAAGTTGCAGCCAAACAAACATTTTTTCAAACAATTTTTGTGCTCTCAACAGTGGAGTGATGGTGAGTGGTCTCGCCTAACCACCTGACCTCAATCCAATATGTGTTTAACTTGCTGGAGATCAGACTTAAGCCCCAAAAGCCCCCCAAACAACCAAAAACTAAAGATGGCTGCATTACAGGCCTGGAAGTACACCACTAGAGAAGCTACCAAGCTGATTTCAGTGGCTTCAGGCATCATTAACTGCAAAGGATTCTCTACCAAAATACTAAACATTAGACTTTAGGTCATCCTCTGTGTTTCATTATCGGTTTAAGGGTCTACAATTACAAAACTGTGAATTAAACATTGATATTAACCCTCAAATAAAGATAAAAGTTGGCAGTTTAACCTCATAGTCAGTGTTTCCTTGCAAATACCACAAAAATGTGTCATTATATGTACAGACTGTGCTGTACTTACAGAGTTAAAGGGTTACCTGAGCCCTTGGTTGATGAAACAGTTTGTAAAATGATTCCTATAAATCCCTATTTATCATCCATCAAACATTGTCATGTCTATTGCACAGCCTTCTTGCTGCAAGGCAGGGGATTTTGAACTCGGGCTGCGATTTCTGGAGCGTTACTGATTTTCTGCCCTTACAAATGGGTAAATGTATTATGTTGGTCGCCCAGGCATTATTTAGCACCTGACTAAGATGGCTAGTATAAAAAGTTTGGCCTAAGGAGCAAGATTAACAATTGCTGGCATAAGAAAAGCTGGCAAGATGAGCTTCTTTTATTACCCCAAAGAAACAGCTTAATCTCACTTTAAACATGATATATGTTATGTACTTTTAGAAAGCAATAATGTAATGTAATCTATAAAATGTAAATTAAATATAACTAGCAACTAGTACAACTTACCTTCAAGGCTGTGCAAACACACATAAAGTGAGATAACAATCCCAAGGACCTTTGAAATATGAATATGTGTTTGTTACTATGGTACGAAGCAATTACAATCAATATTTTTCTGAAGTTAATAGTGTGAAACTGTTCCCTAGGTGACAGGCTACAGCACTTGTCATGATGATTGAGTTATTCTTTCATTATACATTTGTTCCTTCATTTATCTATGCTTGTACTGTTTTGCTGTTAAGTACTTGTTCTCTCAAGTAGTGACGATGGTCCTTAAAAATACTGCAAGAAAACAGGGAAGAAGAAAGAGGAGGTGGTGCCATTAATCACTGGCCAGTAGACGTAAGCATATACCTGTGACAGTTTTGTGGCAAACTGTCTCTATAATTGCATGTCATTGTCCAAAGGCAGCTTCTTTTTTGAAGACTATAATTAAATGCTTTGAGTTGTTCTTAGATTACATCAGCGAAGAGAGAAATGTGAGAAAGGCTCCTTCTTGTGTGTGGGCCAGTACTGTTAATATGTCCTCGGCTCTGTGTGTTGTCTGTTCACACCATATGAGACATGCTTCTCTCAGTTGTAGGTCAACGTAGAGGAGACTGTCCAACTTTTTCCAAGTTTTATTGATGATTGACTGTCGGTGTTGTTGCCGACGGGGTAAAAACTCCCCACTTCCAAAATGTCAGCTTTTCAGAAACATAGACAGTCTCGTTTTTTTCTTGATGGCTGCGCGTATTTGACATTATCCAGGGACTTCTGAAAGAGCTTTGAGTGCAAGGGGTCAGCATTTTCTCAAACGGTGGAAGGCATGTAATCCTTTAATTGACGTTAAAATTCTAAAATCCCACCGTTCGCATTTAATGAGGTTTTAACACGACAACAGCAAAATGGGACAGAATGCCAAATAGGAATAAGGAATAATTGAAAGGTGGTGGTATCATTAAACAGAGTATAGTTTTACAGTCAATATATCAAGAAGAATAAAGGGTATGAAGACGGTACCAAAGGGGAGACAGGCTCTGTTAACTTCCTAGCACTGTGTATGTGCTTGCAAAGAACAACTGGATAGCGTGTTAGCCAGACCCTTGCTTTTAGTCAACAAATTCCTGCCAGATTAGGCAACAGGCCACTGTTTCTGCCCAGTACATCTTACATAGCATGACAAACATTCCATGACAAATAGAGCAGAGACCCAAGACATGATTTCTCTGCTTGTGCCAAGCTGGGAGGTCAGCTATAACAAAACAGAATGAATTGTTTCACACTCAGTCATTAATTAAGGTTGTTTTAATGCGCTGGACCTTAGACTGCAGATAAGTTTAAAGTTAGTGGACATTTTTGGGATGTATCTAAGCTTATAGAGCCAGATACGTGCATTGTTTAGTTCATTAATGAAGTAAAGTTGCTGTATTCGTACAAGTTTGATCCCAAACCATGTTTTCATGTGAAGTATATCCTAGCCTCACTTGGGAAGGTTTTTTTATTGCATCAAAAAAAAAGTTTGAATTTGTGTCACTGTCTGAATAAAACTTTCCATGAACAAAAAAATATTTTAATGCCAGCTGCAGCTGTTTCGTGTAAAGATGGTCGATTGAATATAAAGGATGTTATCAGTGTATCAAGGAATGACAACAATGCCAACCATCCAGAGTCCCACTGAAAGTCGTCAGTAAGGGCAAGGTTGATGTTAACTGTCTTTCTGTTGTGTGTTTTGTTTTTTTTTTATAGGGCAAAACTTCAACCTGGTCGCCAATTTTCTGAAGCGGCATTTCAGTCTCAGATGTATTGTCAAGCAGGGTATGTGACCTACATGTTTTCAGTATCAGTCCCAGTTAAAATAATCAGAAATAGACCTCTCTAAGGTTCATACTCTGCCAAATTTCCCACAGAAAGAGCAAGTCATCTGTGGTTTGCATGTTGATTTTTCTCCCCCTCACTTGTTTTTATGTCCTGTCCCTACCTGCTCAGGGTGTTGTTGAGAACAGGCAGCCATTAAGTGGTTCCCTTGAGAGGCTACTGAGAGTGGGAGAGAGAGAGAGATTGCAGGGCTGTCTATGAAGAGCAGTGAGAATCTATCTCCATGGCCCATCTAGTGCCTGTGACCCTTGGCCACCGTTTCATGGGACCAACATGATTCTCTTCCTGTCAGTAAAGTTAATATCTGCTCCCTGGGGGCTGGGGCCTGGATGTTAAGCCAGCACTGACCTGCTACAGACAGAGATGAGTGCTTCTCTCAGCAGGTCCGTTACACATCAAATTAGACCCAGTCTCCTGGGGTCAAAGGTTGTGTAATTCGGTCCACTGAGTTAGCTGTACAAATGCGGTTAGATAATGTAAAAATTTCGAATGGCTATAAAACGGGTGGTTAAAACGTCCTTATTGTGATTGGCTAGATGGCTACAAGTTTTAGGTTAAAGCCTGTCAGGACGAGTACGAGGCTATGAGGGACTTTTTAAAACTTGGTTACTATAATTAGTTTACCAGAATGTGGTTGTATTTCTCAGATTTAACTGACTTTCATTTCACAACACAATACAGAAATATTGAAAGGAACAGAAAACAGAAAACAAAAGCATTGTCAGCGGGGCAAAACATTTGTGAAATATCCAAAGTCAAAAGAGTTCACCCCCTGGATAGCATTCATTTGCATTGTGTATTTGTTCTAAAATCTTCTGTCAGTTTTTTTTTAGTATATATCTTTAGGTTGAAAATTTTGGGCCTGAGAATTCATCTTTAAATGCCAAGACTTTCCACATCACATTTTATGGTAGTTTGGCAACCACTTCTTAGTCAGCACCCAAACCAACCCACGACCCATTCCTTCTCCGTCACCCTTATTACTTACTCCACCCAGGGTTCATGCAACTTGTTCCACTCCTAAGCACAGGAAGCAAAAGCAATGTATTAAAAAATGACCACGAACGAGGAATATGAACTTTTACAGACCTAATTCGCAACTGCTGCAAAACCTTTGAGCAGAACGTGGTGATCTAAATGAATTAAGTATGCACGTTAGGAATATTTGCACATTTTGCCAGTGCCAAATAATTTGTCAAAGCAGGAAGTCTCTTCTTCTGTCAGTGTTTTTTTTATTTTTATTTTTTTTTATTAAACTTGCAAACATAAAACATGATGATGCAGAAGACTTCCATTTTTATACAACATAAGAAAGACTATCTGTAATAGGCTGTAGGTTAGTTTTTCCAGTGTGGCCATCCAGTTGAGGTGATATGTTGAGGTCAGTTCATCTGGAGTGCTTACAGACTGTTAGATTTATTGTAATGATTAATTTCATGCAACAATATTGTTGCACTGTAAATGATCTTTCCTTTTGAAGTCAGTGAAGCAGTCATATTATTCCCAAAAGCCATTGTTAATGTAAAAATTTCTAATATTTCATGCTGTTTACGCAGCTCATAAAGTTCAGCAATTATATGTTAACTGCCAATTTCTCCTTGGTTTGAGGGATAGTAAATACTTGGTGTTTGTAGATGTAAATTCAAATATCCACCACAATTCCCTCTGTTGGACTTTGACTCATAATTAGAGGTGAGCCCACGCTATTAACCAGCAGGGTCTGCGTTGTTTCTTTGCCTGCTTTCAGATTTGCGTGTGTTTCCTGAACGATATGTTGTGTGTGTGAGCTGTCCAGAAGATGCCTTAGCGCACCATAGAAACCCGAGCCTGGCCGCGGTGAGTGCTGTTTATACTCCTCTATTTCCTCTTCCAGTCGCCTGGCAAAAAGTCCTGCATGGGTCTGTGTGTTATTATAGGGATGTGTTGCCAAATTGTGCTCTCACTTGTATATGCTGATCCTCTTTATAAGGGGGTGGGCTCTGAACCTACTGACGCTTTTCAGAGGCCGAGTGAGAGGAAAACAGAGGATGGCAGGAGGTTGGGTGGTAAGAAGTGAGGTCCAAAGCTGCAGAGTCAACCCTTCTTTAAAAAGTTCCTACTCTCACATTCTGCCAGTTCACACAAGTCACTGTTTTAGATCTTGTTTGTTATACTCAAACATGGGATTGTTTGGAAGTCAAAACTCCAGCTAAAAATACTTTTGTACACTTTGGCTCCTACAGAAGTCTAGCCACTAGAATTATCATGCACTCAAGATCAGATTGGAGATTGTGCTGCCTTTATCCAGCTCAGCCAGACACTTCAGTGTTGATTTTTTTTACAGAACACACTGTTCATCTTTTATCTTGTGCTCTCACAATTTTACTTGCCCTTTAAATGCCTTATTCTGAGTGCCAACTATAATACATAATACACAGTTTTACTTTTTAATGTATCATATCATTCATTGTTCAAGAAAACTACAATCATAGTCTTCATCCCTCTGTTACATGGACAGTTAACATGATTGTCTGCAGTCAAATGCCATGTGTCTTTATCTAAGTTAGGTTTGGTTTGTATTTTCCTGAAGTCTGTGCTGTGTATACCATATTATACTCTTTCCCATGTCATTAAACTTACAACTGTAGTTCTTTTTTTGTCCATTCATACTATAATCTACTATCCTTTGGTCAGTGTTCATTTGATCCCAAACTCCCCAGAGCATTCTGGGAAATAGTGGTGGAGCCTCTCACCTTGGCACTCACATCAAGGACAGACATCTCTCCCATCACATCCCATGATCAGTGGCCTGCTGTTTTTCTACGGGGTTTTTGCTATTGTTTCCCTTTGAAATTTCTCTGCACTCTCCACAGTTTGGCTTCCAATGAAAGCAGTGATTGTAATATTTTTAGGGGAGCAACACAGTCGTCAGTGAAAAGTTCAGATTGTGTAACCAATTTTCCAGTTCAAGGAGGCATTGCTGTCGATTGCGTTCCTCTCCTCAGGATGTGGTTCTCTGGGCTCATACAGTACAAGCAGAGGGAATTGGAGGGTGGGAGTCTTGTGGTGGAGCTCTCACTAGCTCAACCTCGAGCCTGGTTTGTAAGGGAAAGATACCAGACAGAAAGGCTCAAGTTTTTCACATGACAAAAACAGTAATTTGTTTACACCACTCACTCTGTTCTTATTTGTCAGAAAAGCAGTTTTTGCAGTTTTAATGTTGTCAAAGAAGCCAAAGATCTGATTGAAAAAAAGGTTATGCTGTGAGTCACAACTGATGTAAGGTATAATAATGTTGCTGTTTAAAAATAATGGAGTCTTTGGAGTTCCATGTCAGGGCTGATCTCATGTTTAGGAGGGGGTCTTTTATCCCACAACTCTTGACAGCACGAGCCCGCTAGTCCCAAAAAAAAAATGCCACATTTCCCCAAGTTTAGGGAGGTTTCGGGTTTGTTGTTAGGATTCAGTTTGTGTGACTTGTTGAACAAAAATCTTCAACCACAGTGGAAACGTAGACTCATCAAATGAGTACTTTTCATAAGGTCAGGGGGTTAAGTTGTGAAGGAATTAACGTGACATCATGGTTGGCCTTTTGTCCTATGAAAGCCAACTTCTCACTCCCACAATGGAGCATACTGTAAGTCAGTTGTATACTATGTGCTCTTATTAGTCATATTTTCAGCTGTGATTCAGTTAGAAGAGAAGATGGTTAAATTTAGTCATTTCTAGTGGTGTAAGGGGACTGTGATACCAGTTATTAATGGTTTTCAGTGCTCAAAGTCAGTGCTGAAACTTAGAAAGGTTTTGTATTGACTTTCCACGCTGAGACAGCATTATGGAGTGTCTTTCAGTGTCTTGTTTTGGTTTTACAGGTACAGCCGTCATGTGTTGGTTCACTTCACCTTCAAACAGATTGAAGCTAATTTGATTGCAGTTTTAAAGTGAAGGTATGCTTGGCGGAAACCAGTTTGCACAGCATGTCATCCAACCACCTTAGAAAGCAAAAGTGTTGATAGCTGTTTCAAACAGCCGGAGGGGAGGCTTGCTAATCTTTCTCATCAGACAGTACTTCCTGGAAGGTATTAATCGTGGTATACTCCATTGTATACACAAAAGATGAACAAAATAGTTGTGTGTACAATGACAAAAGCAAGGTTAACAAAAAAGTCAAACTCCTGTTTACGTTCTAAACGCTAACTTTCGCACGCATGGCCAGTTCTTGTAGAAGTGGATTGTCAGATTCAGATATTTTAAACCAATGAGGGGAGAGTTTCAGGTGCTGTTCAACCATCCAACAAGTGCTTTGGTTTGAGCAGGCTACAAAGTCTTGACTGTCATTTTTGAAGTTGTGGAGTGAAATCAGTCCTGACATCCATATCAGCCTGATGTGCTCCGTCTGTTACAAACTAGATAGATAGATAGATAGATAGATAGATAAATAGATAGATAGATTTTAAATTTCAACAGCTAGAATACTAGAACTGACTGTTGCTTTGCAGAGGTAAGGCCACTGAAAGAACTTCATTTGCACGAGACAGTGGGAAGCAAATTAATTGCACTGTCTCTGTCTTTATTTCCCTTGGCATTTGGAGATTTAAGTCCCTCATAAAAAGTTGCTCCTATTGTGAGTCAGCACCAACAGTGAGGAGGGCAGCATGGGAAGGAAGAGCTAGTGTTTAGGATTGTGGCCGTTGTTTTCTAGTCAGGCACAGAGTGGGCAGCTGAGGTGAGTGGCGTGCTGAGCCGCAGAAGTTTGGATCAAAGGCAGAGCAGATGTGTTTCCAGTCCCCCCCTCTTCGGAGCTCTGGACGAGCCTGTGTGTTTACTCATGACCTCAGCACGCCTCTGTTCTTCACAGCTCTCAACAGCTAGCAGCAGTCCTTTCCCAAGCATCCAGTGTCCACTGACCTCCTCTATACCTAGGCCAAATACATGGTTATGATCTCTTAAAATACACGATCACCCCCCTCTATTCCATCCTGCCTTAAACTGCTTTCCTTGATTTGCACGAAGTGAGTTCAGACAGTTAGCAGCTTGTCTTAATCCATTCACATGGGTGGATCCAAAAACTTTTGTCATTGTTTGGGGGATAAGAACTGTCCTCTATTTTAGACAAGTATGTGCCCATGCATGTTTGTTGACTTTGTAGCAGGCAAGATGTGGTGAGCTTAGACAAACAGGGCATGCTTCCTCTGTGGAAGCAGGGTGGGTGGAGGATGAGGGGTGGAATTTGTGGACTACATTCACGAACATCTCTGCAGGAGGTATTTCTTTTCTGACAGTTGAATAGTGTTGTTTTTTCTTGTTGCCAGTTTGACGATTTTGTAAACCTAGCTGTGCCATCATAAAGCTGTTCAAAGGTTTTCCAGTGGAAAGAATAGTTCTTTTTTTTTAATAACTTGAATGGTTTCAGGGATTTAAAACTTTCAAGTTGACATGAGCCCTTATTTTGTGACAGATGAGTGAATAACTGGCTTTATAGAAGGCATCTCACTGTTTTTGTGTGTTAGGTGAGATACAAAGGCATCGGAGTAGTCCAAGAATAAACAGTCTGGTTTCCACTGGGGCAGATCAGAGTTGATGGTTGATCGGAGCCTCCTATGCTGACCTGTTTTCTGATTCATCATCTTGGATTTTTTTTTCTTGTAATTTTCATGTTTAATATGTCTCCATGATGCATTGAGAAAGTAAGGTTTTGCAAGAACTTTCAAAAGTTATTGGATACCCTGAGAAATGTGAACTGTTTACACAGAAAAAATGTTATTTTCAGGACGAATGCAGATTGTATGGGACAAAACTTTATTGTATATTATTATAGCTTGGTATGTTCAAATACCAAAAGAGGTTTTATCATTCAATGGTGCAGTGAAGTAAATTACAACACTCAGAGACCATTTGGCTGTATCAGTGTTTTATGTTCATGTGCCGCAGCATTAAAAGATACCCAACATAATCTTTCTATCTGTATTCCTACTGTATCTTGGATTCCAGAGGAGAAACTGTTTATTCCCTGTATTTTATGGAGCCTGTTGTTAGTTATCTTTTAGAAGCCGTTTCCAGGAGTCAGGTAGAGCTGGGGTATGCTATGAGAACCTGTGCTGGTATCCTTTTAAACTAAATGATTCATTCTCTCTGCTCTCCTTGCCCTTTTGCCAGGCTTATCTCTATAATGTGACATCCAGATGTTCTGTCTTGTTGCAGCTCCTGTGGTGGAGCCATGTTGTTTTGGAGGCTTCGGGGCCGGGGAGGGCACTGTTGGTCTATTCTACATGTTGGATCACGAGGAGCATTTCGCTGCTCTGTGTGGGGGCGAGCAGACTGGCTGGCGGTGGGGGGGTTAAATCCTTTTTGCTCTCAGAGAGGTGGTAGCGCCGACGGGTAGACGCTCTTATTTACCACCATCCCTCCCTCCTTTTTCATGGGACTCTCTCCAGCATTTGGAGTTTGCATCATTCCATACAAGATTAGGCCACCTCAGCTCCCACACAATACTTACTGTTTTATCCACATAGCTTGTGATAATTATACTGTTGTTCATGCCTCATCTCTCTCTCTCTCTCTCTCTCTCTCTCTTTCTTTTTCTCTGCTATTCCATCTTTAATCCTTCTGCTTTCCTCTGGAGTTGCTATATACAGAACATCCAACCTCTGCCCCCCTGGTGATAATTCATGCGCCATCTCTCTCTCTCTCTCTGTCTGTCTGTCTGTCTTTTTATCTATCTTTCTTTTACTTTCTATGTATATCCAACCTCTTCCTCTCTTCATGCTTCTTCCTTTCCATGACTCTGTTCTTTCACTCTCTTGCTCTTTTGAAGTTGTGCCGACAGGAACAGAAAAGCACTAAACTTTCCCAGAGAACCTCCCTTTGGCTTCTTGTTGATTTTTCTTTCAAGTCCATTTTCAAACAGCATTTATTCATATTAAACAGATGAGAATACATATCAAGGCATTACAATGCAAATGATGGCACCCACATTTTTTCTCAGTATTGTTGTTGTTGGGGTGGGTGTGCAAGTGTGTAGGCAAATTCACGTTTGCATGTGTGTCACTGTCCCAAACCAAGTTGAAGGCTCACTGTAGCCCTGGATATGAGAGCGAGTGTAAAGACTGAACCTCTGCCCACACTGTAGCATGACCACATCTCTGCACAAAGAGCAGCCTGTGGAGAATTTCCTGTGTGAGGATTCTTGCGTTTGTGGGCATGCTGGAGAGACTGTTGAGGTCAGGCAGTGTGACTCTGGGGGGGTGCTGCTGCTTTTGTTGTCTTCCCCTCTAAACACTCTTTCACTTATTCATTCTGTAGTATCTTGTCCCTTGTTTCTTGTCAGCTCCGCCTACTTCCCAGTTGCCCAGCCTCCTTCATCACTCCCCTCCCTCCATCTGGCCTCTTCTTCTGTCTACCACACCACAGACCAGAGTGCAGTTGCTAGATCTCAACACCCAGTGCAAAGCCACAATGGCCCAGCTTGCCCTTTCAGCTTGGGACAATTACTCCTTTCCCCTTGTGTGTCAGGTCACATGTTGTCACTGGTATCGTGACATGTGGGAAAGGACATTAATGATTTTTTTCTCTGTTTTCACAGCAACTAGTGAATGCCAGAGCTCACCACATTGGCTTTCCCCGTCTTAAAGTGCACATTGATCATTTTACCAACCAGTTTATGGAATAGTAATGATCTGAAAAATGGCTGATATTAAATAAACATGGTGGCCACAACCTGGAATTTTCCAAGACTTAACTCCTGTCTGGTTGTATTTCCACTCTGCAACAGTCTATAGAGCTTTCAATCATGCTAGTGGCATGAGTCTGTGGATGGCAATGTCAGCTGGTCCACCACTGCGGTCCAGGGTGAAATAACTTAAACACTGCTGGATGGATTTCCTTGAAATTTGGCACAGACGTTCATGGTGGTCAGAGAAGGAATCCTAAAGACTTTTGGTGACCCTGTGACTTTTAATCTTTTGTGACCCACATACCACTGAAATATCTAAACATCTACTTGAGTGATTGGCAAACCATGTTTTACAGACATTCATAGTCCACAAAGGGTGAATCTCACTGACTCTGGTGATCCCCTGATATTTCACAATGAGGCTGAAATATCTCAACAGCTATTGGGCAGCCTTAAAACTTGGCACAGACATTCATGTCCCCCTCAGGATGAAGCTTAAACATTACTGATTCTTTATGTTTTCAACTAACACTATATTTAGACCAAATTTTTAATTTGTCCAATACTTTGGTTTATTACATAAACGTCTGCAAGTATTGACATCAGCCTCAGCTGTACTTTAACTGCAAATTAGAAAGCATTGTAACCATGCATATGTTGGTTTGCTGATGTAAACAGTTGCTGGGGGCTCTGGGGCTATACTTAGCTCATATATGACTGTAGACTTTTAGAATTAGGAAGTATACAAAATGAAACAAGACAGACACTGACTAATTTTTCAAACCAGAGCTATTCTGATTTTATTGCATCAACTTTTTTAGTGCAATTAATTTATGATAAATTGACAGGCTCTCAACCTTTAAGTTCTGCTCAATTTACTGCTATCATCTCCTGTTCTCTCATAAATCCAGACTCTGTTCTAGGTCAGCCAAGGAAAAGACCTGTGATTAACCTTCATTAGTGGTCTGTTGAGGGCACACGTTGGTGAGATCCAATTTTCAGCTTGTTCCTTGTTCTGCCTCAGAGGGTCCCTTTAGTATGTGGATATTATTGAACTTTCACTCCACAGTTAACCATTTAAGCAACAGAGAATGTGCTTTTTTGAGAAGCATAGGTGTATAGTGGCATTTGGAGTTGAGATTTTACATAAGTATGATGTGGGAGTCCCCCCATGCATACTGCTTTGTTTAATGACAGTTTAAAAAAATTATAGTCAGTCCTCTTCCAGTAATTTCTGCCTGTCAGTAATTAAACGATTGCATCACAGTGCTGCTACAGCCGATAATTTATTTTGATCTTATTATAACCTTTTTTGTTTTTTTATTCCCATGCTCTCTGGTATTTTTGCTCTGCCTTTCTGCATCATCTTATTAATGAGTCTTCTTTATTGGCTGTTTCATCCTGTCTGCATGGTCATGCTTTAGTAATTTTGCCTCAGGCTACAAGCATCACTTTCAGCCTAGGACAGTGGAGACTATGAACATTCGCTACACTATTATGAGCCAGTGATTATTTTCTGAAGCCTTTGAGGTGGTTGGTTTGGACAGTTTTAAGTGGGGGACAAATTCTTTGTGCCAGCTGGGCTGTTACTAAGTGTCTCTTAAGGCCTTATAGAAGCATTCTTTTTGTATGGCATCATAGTTCAAATAGTGAGGTGACAACACTCTTTGGAATACAGGAGAATCAGAAGAGAATACATTTATATAGACCTTTATTACTTTTGCAGGAGTGTAGTGAATGTCTTTTAATCTTCAACCATGCCAGATGATGACAGCACCGTGGAGCCAAACCTTTCCAAGGGATGCCAGGAATAATATTTTTTGTTTACACCGATTCTGTTTGTCCTCTCTAGACTGAGCTGGGCGAACAAAGCAGATCGGAATATTTTTCCAGTGTGGGAGAAACCCAAGAGCTTTTAAACAGCTCCACAAAAACAAAGAAGGCTGTGCTTCAAAAGATGTAAGTATGATCTAATGCAGAACTTTCCAACCCCACCAGTCAGAGAGGACATTCAAGTATCTGCTCACATCCTTTTTTATCCTTTTTAACTTTTTCAGAGCCAAACAAGCCAGTGTCCAGCGAGAGCTCTGTGGTTCCACTATGGGGGAGCAGCAGATTGATCAGAGAGACTGTCCTAAAAACGCAATCCCAGAAGATAAAGCTGGAGAACCAAAATTTAGCCTGGAGACCAGCTCTGCACAAAAGACCCTCCCAAAGGTAGACCACAAAGTGCCTAGCTCCAGTGCCTTAACTGAAACCTTGGCTCAGATTGGGACTTCTCAAAAGCGGGAGCAGCAAGGTGAAATCAATCCCCCAGACACCCTAATTGAGGTCTCAGCAGGTTTCTGCCAACATGAAATCACTCAGGAGACCAAGAAGAGCAAGAGGTGCAAGCTGAGTGATGCTGGGGAAGACCCTCACCCACAGAGGGCCAAGAGGACGTGCCTTGGACGACCTCCAACCACAGTGCAAACTCACTCCACCGAGTGCTCCACACAAACATCCAAGCACGACCTTCTTCCTCTGCCGCCTTCTCCTCTACTCGAAGCCAAGGCAGAGTCCAAGGCTTTCCCTGTCTCTGAGTGCAAGAAAACCACACTGGAAGTAGAGCTGCTTACTCCAGGGAAACGGGCCCAAAGGCTCCCCCTCACAAGCAATAACACGGCACAGACAAACCAAAACAGGCTGGCCGCAAGTCTGAGGGGCCTATCTGTCAAGCCTGCATCCTCAGGCTCCTCTATTGGTTCCAGATCCACCCTCGGAGAGGAGGGGAGTGAAAATGTGCCCAGAACCTCTAGATTACGACGACTGAAGAGGTCCTGAGGGGGAGAGACAAGCTACAGTAAAGATGCCTGACGCCACAGAGATAGAGATGATATTCTGTCAGGCTGCATGTTTACCCCATGTAGTCCGTGCGGTCTCCTCACATGACTGGAATTTGTGCATGTGTCACTATTTACTAGAATATCTATTCTTCTCACATGTGCTGCACATACCGAGCACACACACATGCAGCTCAAATGCTGTACATATTATGGCAGCTGATACATGAGCATTTGACTTACTCTTTGTCAAATACTTGAAACAGACTTTGCCTCCACCCATAAGTGGTGGTGGTCAAGAGAGGCTCGCAAATGAAAGTCAAAAACCTTTAATTGGAGTTTAGATTTGGTTTTGTGTTAAAGATTGGGGATTTCAGACAGGCAGGAGCCATGCAGTACGTCATGGCTTTCAGTCTGAAATACTGGCTCCTACGTGTCTGAAAACTGTCCAGTTTCCCTGCTGAAGCTCTTGTGTGATTGATTGCTGTTTCCAGATTTATTTCATCACCCCATTCTCAAAAATGTATTTTTGTAGTTAGATTTCAATTATATACAATTTGCTCAATACTTAGTCGCTAAGAACCTGAAATGTATCTCTAAATTGGAATGTACTATGTATCTCATACTGAACGTGAACTAAATACGTGTGGGCATGTGAGCAGTGTGAAATTATTCGTGGTATTATTTTGGAATAGCAGGACGTCTTCAGTGTCACAGGTTAAAATGTAGTTGCCGCCCCAACATTTGGAAGGGCTGTTCATATCATGCCATTGGCCCAGTCCCAGAGAGACCATGGGCCAACCAAGAACCAACACTCACTCGTACCCTCATTTAAAAACCAAGATGTTCCATTTGATGACATAATGTTGCCTAAATGTATAACTTCTGGTTTATTTTTATTTTTACTGGAAAGACATTTTATGATCTAAATAAATGTGCTTTTCCAAGGGGGAAAAAAAAAACATGGAATCTTTGTGGAAATATGCAAATAGGCTGAGAATTTTTGGGACGCAGCCAGTATGAAATAACATGTAGATCTGATCTCATTGCATTGTTTTCTTTACACACAGTCCAGACTGGCTTATGCTCGTGGCAGCTTGACAGTGAAGTCTGTCCAACAACAGTATTAGTGGTTGTAACCTGAGATGAATCACTACCAGAAGTCACTTCTGTTCTTATCAAGACGGAGACAATACGGCAGATTAGTGAAACTAGGCTTAATGTTTTAAGTCCTAATATGTTTAAAGTCATTCTCAAGAGGTGTTGCTAATCTCTTGCCTTGGCTTTAATCTTGTCAAACAGATTCTTCACAAGAGTTTGTTTTAAAATCAGTTCAGCTTTACAGCATCGGCTTCTCAGGGCGGATAGTTTGAAAGGTTTTAAGGAAAGGTTTTTTAAGCCTGCTACTTAAATCAGACCAACAAGGGGCACATTGTCTAAGGATCATGAGGAGCAGCGGTATTTTTGTCTCCAGGATTGACTTAATACAGGATGGCTAGCTACAACGTAATTAGCTGTAAACATATTTGGACAGAGACCTTGCTCAAGTCTATGATGTCTATCCAGCTCTAGTTCCCACGCCAGCTGCATGAGAAACCTTTCATATGCTCTGACATGTTTGGCTTGATGCATCACAGACAGACTCTTCACTCGCTCTCCAGAACAAAGACAACTTTAATTCTCTTTTCATACAAAATATTTAATAAATATGACTTTCAAAAATATATTGCCAGATCAACACATAATTCTCAGTTCATAACACAAAGTCAAAAATAGGACAAAATGTTGCCATGATCTCAAAGGGTTAACAAATGAGATAAAACATGTTTGTCTTTAAGAGCCTCAAATTAAAAAAAAAAAAAAGAAACAAATGTGCACAGAAACAAAGCAGACTCTTGCAGAGCAAGGCAGTGTATTTGATCTGATTCTACAGTGTTCCCATTGCCCCCCTACTCTTCAAGTACTCATGGTCTAGCTTATGATTTTACGCTGACTAAAGCAGATGGGAATTCTGGCGTGTCATGTTGATGAGACTTGCCTCGCAAGTTGGTAGATTTTGACACCCTTTGAAATATGTCAATGGGTTAAACTGAAGCTGCAGAAGAATTTTTGTTCCCTTAAGTATTTATCCATTAGTGGCAAGCAATATGTCTGCCACCATGTCCAATCCTTACAGCAGCTGTGGTCTTTTGTTGTCCTAACCTCACTTGCCTTCAATTAAGGTCCTGGCAACAAATAATGAAATGTCAAATGTGTGTGAGAGAGAGAGAGAAAAAAAAAAGTATTTCTTTCAGGCCCAAAGTGCCCATCTTTTGTCTTCTTTGAAATTTGGCTTTTATAGAATGCGTTGGAAAAAAAATTTAGTCATTGAAAGAAATGGTAGGCTTCCACAGCTATCAAAACCTTCAAACTAGACAGAACATATAAATAAAAAGGAATGATATCTTAAGGCTCTTGATTATTAAGTTAATAAATCAAATATACACAATGATTAATAAAAAAAAAATGTACATATCTACATGTTCTAAATTGTCACATAAATTCTTCATATTGGCAGCAACTGCTGACATTGAACCCTTTCCTCTCCCTCCCCACCCCCCACAAAATAAAAATAAATAATAAAGTTGATCTTTTTTTTTTTCTCTTTTGACAGTTGCTGAAGTCTAAAGCTGAAAAGGCTCTTTCTCCAAACAGAACTAGAAAGAATTCAAACACATACTAAAAATAATTAGCTCTAGTGTTGAACACGTCGGGTAGTTTTAGTCATTGTACAACAATTACACCAGGAGCCCCTTCCATGTGTCCACAGAATTTTAAAAAAAAAAAAAAAAAAGGGAAATGAAATGCATAGGAGGACACTTTTGCAACTAGTTCTACAGTGAAATGTATACCAGTGCCTTGTGTTTCCAGCCAACCAAAGCAACTGTCACTGCCAGTGTAAGCCAGCTTGTCAGAACTTAAATTAACACGGGGAATATCTGAAAATACTGTGGGGTCACTACTGACATGACCGTTTACTATCTACACATGCCAAAGCGCCCCTGTTTCACCCACCACCTGGGTGTGAAGGCATAAGGCTTGGTTGCACGGCAACACAGCTGTCTGCTATACTATGTAGTCCATCCTGTTTATGCTGTTTGCTGTCTCCAAGTCTCTGTTGTCTTGTTTATTAGTCCAATTAGGATGCTTGGATGTTGAGTTGGGATTGGAGATGGGCGCCTTCTCGTCCCTCTCCACCAGTGTGTATGCTGGCTGTTTGGCAAAGCGGCCTTTCTGTAAGTGCCTCTCCTTGTCGTCCTCATCCCCCTCGGGATGATTTGTCCTTATTTTGGCAATGATGGAGTTCTTGTTTTCGTAGTCTTTGATGGCCACTGTGAGGCCCACATGCTTCTCTATGGGGTTCTTGATCTGGTTAAGCTGCTCCCGCACGTTGTTGGTTGTGTTGTCCTCTGAGCCGGTTGCTGATGTCCCATTGTGGTTGCTCTGTTTCCGCCGCCGACGCATGCACCACAGCAAAATGGAGACCAGCACGAGGACCCAGATGACAATGAAGATGGAGCTGAGGAGGGGCACTAGGTAGTCTGATGGAAGAAGACAATTACAGGTCAAAGAGATGCAACAGATTTAAAAGAATTGACTCCAGTTAAACAAAGCACAGTAGGTTTTATTGTATTATTGTGTCAAGCTTGCTAAATCATTAGCATGCTTTTGCCAGCACAACTTGACCTCTGAGCCCTGAACAGGGGAGGAGGCTGCTTCTACTTGGCCATGGCGGCAGTCTGCTGTCACAGTGTTGATGAATGGTGGACACATGCGAGAGTCTTACTATGAGTCCAGCCAGTTGCAGTATGAGCCAATCTAAAGCCACGTAGCCAAGCAGCTCTGCTCTTTCCATCGAAATTTTGGCTAGATCCTTTTGAGCTCCATTACAACTGCCCTGAGATGGCAGACCTGGGCGGTCGGACTTGTGTGGGAGGGCAAGGACTTATTTTTCAGATACACATACGTTTTTCTTTGGTACTCAGCATTACTGTCATATTCAGGGCTTGGCTCTATCTCATCTGATCTTTAAAAAAAACAAAAAACAAATCCTCCCACCAGTTTCTACACACAAGTGTTTGCAAGTCTGGAAAACTTCATAGGAGTTTGGATTTGACTCATACCAGTTTTGCTGGGGCTTGGCACACGGACTTCTGCAATGGCGGAGATGATGGTGTTGTTGCCGTTGCGTTTGCTAACCAAGTCGATTATCCTGTCTGTGATTTCTTTAATGGGGCTCCGGTCCAAGCGATGGTCCTCAGTAGACTGAATGCAAAGAAGAAAGTGAGGTTTGAAGTCAATTGGTTTAGGTTTAAGTTCTATCTTGTCTGCCAGTGATTGTGTTTACTTGCTGTCAACTGATGACACAAAATACCCCAACCTAAATCCATCACATTTTCCATTAGAGCCTTTCTATGTGCTGCTGGGAATGCATGCTGCAGGCTATAAATCAAAAAGGGTTTTTTTTTGTGTATGCATTAATAGAGGCAGACAAACATATGGCAGACTGGGAGTGGGAGGAGGTACTTACGATGCAGACGTGGATCTCGTTGCTGGCTGAGAATGATGGGTCACAGGTTATGGACACAGAATGCTCCAAGGAGAAATTCTTCACTATGTACAAGTGCCTCAGCTGCTTACATACTCCCTCCACAGTCAAGCCCTGGACACAAAGAAGAGATAAAGTGAACTTTAACACATATGGAAAAATAGGGGGCAATCGGGGGGGAGCTATGTCTGCATTTTGGCAGTAGGTTCAACATCCTATCTGGTTGAAATCCACCTAATTTAGATTAAAGACCACAGACTCATATGCTTGTCACTATCTGCTGTCATGCTTGTTAGGCAGCTGGCGAGTGATCATCCTATGTGGTGACAGAGTCGCCAGTGGTCCTGTTTAGCTCAAATCCATATTATCCTGCAATTAATCTCACACTGCGGTCTGGTTAAGAGGGGATTGGCATGAGCTGCAAAATCATGAATGCCTGATTCTCAGGAACACCAAAACTTGGATGCCAGCAAAAAGATACAAAGAGAAGAGAAATATTTCTGCATTCTTTCCTCTTGGTGCACAGTTAAATAGCTGACTGAATTGTTCAGGAGTCTCCTTTTGCCCTGGAGGGATGGGTGAGCACTCCTAAAAACCTGATCTTTCACAGTTTGCTGCTCCCATTCATTTCAGAGAGGTGGTAGATGAGAGGCATGAAAAATGACCCTAAAACCCGCTAATTCAATCTCTTCTTCTCTGGTGCCGAGGTAACTCACTTGATAAGCATGCATGATCTCCTTGTTGAAGGTGAAGGTGATGTTGGCGCAGCTGTTGTCCTGGTAAGTGGAGCTGGGGTGGCATTTGGTGGGAGGCTGGGGAGGGTTGGAGCGCCAGCACTCTCCGAGCTCAAGGCAGGGCTTAACAAAGCAGTGGCCCTCCCTCAGGGGGATGCAGCTCTGGCCTGAGGGGCACCCACCTCTGCCTTTGGCACCCAGTTTACATGACATAGGACCACACCACATCTGGAGGAAAAAAAAGCATGGAGGCATTGATATAATGTCACAGATTTTTCTTTAGTCCACCACTTTGGTCCAGATTAACACATGTACAACTGCTATGAAATGGATTTC